GACAAGACTGAAGGTGTTTGTGGCAGTCACGGATCTCAAACTCAAATTTCATTGGTATCTAGACACTACCTACTTCTGGAGAGCATTCCCTTGTAAACGATCGCCGCCGCAGTAATGTGCGTATCGCCCGCGATATACAAGTATACAATGCAACATCGGCAACGGATATATATATGTATATACGTTTCTGTGCGCATACATAATCATAAAGTGCGTACATAAGCACGGGGGAGTGCGCGTGTGCGCGAGTGTAACGATGTCACCGAGCAGTATCTCTGTTACGCCTGGATTGCTGTGGACTGTGGCCGCACTCACGCATCGCTTAACATAATCCCCCATTCGACCAGGACTACATAGATTACGGAATGATACCTCCGATGGGCGTTGTACAATTATATCAGTGCAGTATTGTATATTCCAGCGTCGCGATGCGCGTGAGTTTCGCGCCATGTGAGCTTGCATTTCCGGAGAGGGATCGAGATAAAGAGGCGGTCAAGGTGTTTCGATCATATTCAAATCAATAATGAAATGATCTCAATGATGGAAAATCCAAGCATTCGTAGTGAGAGAGAAAAGAGCTATTATTGAGATAAAAAGATCGACCTTCTAAAGAAATATGACCTTCTGATATTTTCGACCAGATCGATGGGCCATTTGACAATAAAAAAATTATCTCAATCGATATCACTAAAAGTAATAATATCTATATGAGAAAAATGGTTTAATTATACTGACAAAACATAAATGGCTGAATGCCACTTTGATGAAATCAAGCAGAATTTCTAGTTATGATAGGACTCGATGCTTTATATTTTGAATGTTTGATAAATTTAACTATATAGATTTGATTAGTTGATGTATAAAACTTTTTATTTAAATTTAGTATAAGTTCCGCGAGAGCAATACGCGATACCGCCGCAAGATGGATGCGATGGAGATTAATATCTCGTAATACAAAATCACACGGAAAAGAATAAAAGGAGCGGCATTATGTAATTCTTTATCGTAATTAAGTTTTAATACAAAAGTAAATAAGAGATGTATTTTGAATTTTGATAGTGCAGTTCTCAGTTCTGTTTTTAATCCTGAAGGTTACCTTGTGCTAAAATTATGAATTAACATAATAGCAACTGAAATATTATCAAAAACATCAAAACCTGTAGAATTGTGTGAATGTTAGTTAATTGTCGCAATAATTACAAATCGATTACAATACGATTATAAAAATCAATCAATAAGAAATTTTAGTATATTATAAAGGAATGCTGGATGAAATTGTTGAGAATTGCAGATCGATATAAATCTCTGAATTTACTGAACGGAAACAAAGATTTTTTACAGGATTAAAGTAGACATAAAGCTTGGAAAGTGCTGCAGTGGACTATATACTAAAATCGGAAAAAAAATGAAAAACGTATACTTTTTCAACTCGTAGAATTATCACTTAACGTAAATGTTTCCTTAATACAAAAGTTTTATAGCTCGTATCATATTACAAAACGATAATTCAGCACTCAGCGTTTTACGTGCACAAACAATACTGAGTTTATGAAACTAAGATTGAAAAGAAAGATTTATATCGGTCTACAAATTACGTACATATGAATGCTGAACGAAGATCCAGAATGGTACTCACGAACAAAGCAGTAATTGTGTCTAGTCGTAGGTGTTCAATTTTGCAAGAGATGGCATTGCAAAATATTAGACAGGGACAAACGTATGCGTTTGAGTAAAACAGAACGATAATGTAAGAAATGAAATAAAGATGTCACTATTATTAACTTTTTTTACTTGGAATTTAAAAAATCTATATTATCGACATCGATCAAGTTCGGCCTGATAATGCCTACAAAAATTCTGATTCATTCATTTTCGAATTGATTATACTGAAATTGAATCCATCAGAGATATTCAATTAATATTAAATTTTTTTTCAGTATACGTTATAATTTCATTCTCAAAAAAATGTAACTATTATGTAATCTCAAATGTTGTATTACATTTATATTGTTGAGTGCGAAAATACTTATAACTTTAATGTTGTGTTACTTTTAGTTAATGTCGACTGTAATATTGCTACAGTAATTTCTTAAAGAAAGAAAGTGTGTCACTTACATTTATTAGCAGTAGAAAGCTTCTTTTTTTATCTTGCAAATTAAAAGTCAGGAACACGGATTCAGTATTCTGTTAAAATACCGTAGAGTAAAAGATCGCGTTGCAATTTCGTGATTCACATTCCGTTTTTTCGTGAAGGCATTCTAACATACACGTCCAAAGTTTTTCAGTTTTAAACACGAGATTCCGATGCAAAATCTAGTCAAATAATATTCCTTTCATTAATATTACCCTTAAAGCTTAATGCACTCTACTTGAATATGAATGTAATTAGCTTCTATTCAGAAAATATAGTAATTTGTAACTGCTATGGAAATAATTATTGAAAAAAAGTGAAAAAATGTATTATATGTGTATTCAAAATTTAATTGAGGAACGTATCAAATATAAAAATTTAATTTTATAAGTTACTTCTCTGGCGTAAAAATACTGAAGCTACTAATAACAATAACTAGAATAACAATTAGCGCAAAGTATCAGCAGAACGCTGACGTTTTGATATGTACAATGGCGCGTGTAAAGGGTAATGACTGAGAGAAGCGGATGGCAATTAACTGCTGCGCGCGGAGACTTCCGGCCAAAGAGAAATGCTGCTGCGCTTCACACGTTCATTTCTTTATACACGAAGTAATTCAATTTTGCACCCGTATATTAATTCAATTCCGACCTATTGTTCCTATGATATAAATCGTACGCTTCGAGTGCGCATAATTGCACAAAACGATTCTTTTGTAGAGCAATAATCGAGAGATCGTTTGTTAATGAGTATACGCAATTACGGCAGCCAAATGAAACTCATAATTTTCAAGTAATCAAAAAGAATCCTCCATAAATCGCGACTTGTAATTCCAATCTCTTCAGGTCTGTTACACGCGAGAGTTATCTTACACTATAATTTTAATCGGAGTCAGTTCAACACACAGCATCTGTATCAAGTGACGGCAGTGGAAATCGTTACGGAGTTGTGGATATTAATGTTAGGAATGAAAGAATTTTTCAGAATTTAATTGACGAATAATAATATCCCAACGCACGTGATAATTAAAAATTGCCAATAGTGTTTTAATGGCAAAATATACATACACACACACACACACACACACACACACACACACACACACACACGCACGCACGCACGCACGCACGCACGCACGCACGCACGCACGCACGCACGCACGCACGCACGCACACACACACACACACACACACCTTTAATTAAACGAGAAAGACATTTAATAAATATAAAGTATTCGTAAATTTTCATGAGGTAATAATATGTCATCACGACGGATCGGACATTTGAAGTTATAAATTTTATCGAGCAATAATGCTCCCTGATCTGCAATAAATTAAATTTTGGTCCATATAACTGACAACCTGCGCGTAATAAAATTCGTATAAAAGCAGCACTCTGCTCCTTGTCTTCTGTGTCATCGTGCAAAAGATTGTTTTTACAAAATGACTGTTTTTAGGAATGCATTGTAAATGTATTCCTAAAGTGACATCTACACATTTATTATTTGCGCGTACGCAACACGCTATTGAGATATTATATTTCAGTCCTATCGAGACATTTCACTTCCGCATTAATTACGCTGTAATTTTATAAGAGTTTTTAGTGAATTTTCGTTGAAGGCATATAAGATAATACAAAGTATTCTTTGAGTTTACGAAAAATTCTCGATAACTTATTACATCATTGTCGCGTCTGTTATTTCGAGGAGTTATGACCGCGCCTCCACCATTTTTTACGTGCCGAGATATTAATCAAATTCTCCTCAAGTTCTCTTTGACGCCTCCTTATTACGCGTAACGTGTAAATCTCGAGATGTGTCGGTAAATTTATAAATCTACATGCGCCAAGGAACCGCACAATTCTTTTGTTTGATTATTAAATTTATTCTCCTCGTATTTATATTACGGAACAACGATTCTTGAAAGAAATATTTATCTAGATTTTATTCGACACAATATCGTGACATGAACAATCAGAAACATATAAAGCAAATGGTTAAAGTATTCCTCGCGGTTTTCGAATTATATCACATGTGATGCACGTATATCGCGTTAAATCATAAAAAAGGAATCTCGTGATCACAAAAGCGGAAGATACATTATATAATTCATAGACATTATATAATTCAATAAGTAACATTTATTCAAGTATTATCTTATCTTTGTTCAAAAAATTATCTCAAATACTTTCAGATGTATCTGCGATACATCGCCGCGTCGTGATTAATACGATATTAATATTTAGAACTTATTGATATCGCGACTTGTCGAGTAAAATATATATCGGCATCGTCCGCTCTTTCTAGCTATCCGTTTAAATTTTAAACTTTGATGTAACTGAGACTGGAGCGGAACACAGTAGTTTATCGATCCTGCGCGCGAAAATGATTTTATAAAGAATACGATGTCCATAACAAAGATCAGACTTTATCGAACACAGCCAGGTATTTCAGCGTATCATTTGCGCGGGAGGACCATTTAATAAGAATACAATTTACGGAATATTTCGGTGTCGTTGTGAAAATCGCTCAATCCGATTCGCGAGTGGTATATAAAGCAAAATCGGAATCCATTTCAGATCAAGATAGATTAGTGTCTGCCAGTCGTAAACCAGTTACCCGTTATCAGCTATTCGTTCACGAGCACATTTTCTGTTCATCAGCGCTCCATAATCCGCGCACTCGACGCGGTTCCGCAAAAAACACGCTCCCCGCGAAAGCTACATAATAATAATATATATATATA